GAGAGGCGGTGACGGAGGTTCGGAGGGTGTTGAGTGCGTGGAGGATGGCGGAAAGGTCGGGGGTGGCGGTGTTGGCTGGTGGTTGTTCGCCTGCGAGGTTGTGGGCGATGCTATCGACTGAGTCGGTGCGGATGTCAGACATGTGGATGGAGCATGCGGCCATGTCGGGGGAAGAGGGGGTGGAGGACGTGGCCTGAACGGGTGTGGAGGATGCAGTAGCAGCGGCGGCGTCTACAACGACACGTTGGGAGTTCTTGGTTTGGCGTGGTGGCATGTGGAGGGTGGGGGGGGGGGCAATCCCTTATTTATTTATCAATAAATTCAAAAATAAAGATAATCGCCAAGTTTTTTTTTTTTTTTTTTCAAAAAATAAACGCTGAACAGAAAGAGATGATTAATTTCGAAAAAATAAATTCTGATTTGGATTTAAATTTATTTACAAGAAAACGTGAAATTTCGAAAGAAAGTATTTTTGAATTACGGGGGAAAAAAAAATAAAAAATAAATTGAAAAGAATTAGAAAGAGGAAATTTTTAAAATATTTGGCAAGAATTTTTTAAAGGAAAATGTCGACATTTCAGAAAAAGGATAATTAATTTCGAATAAAGAGATTAATTCAGTCGTGAATTAATTGAATTTAGTCGAAACTAATTGAGGGGTTTAGAATAACATATTTAAAAGAAAAGTACTTTCGAATTGTAAAAAGAGTTTCGAATTTCAACAAAAATTGCGAAAAGAAATTGTGAATTAAAATACTGGGAAAATTTTTTTATTAGAATTATTTTTTAATTTCCAAAAGAAATATCAAAAAAGAATTTAATTAATTCTAACGAATTTTTTAAAATTTTCAAAAAAAAATAAAAATAAAAATAAAAATTAAGTAGAAATGTTTTTGAAAAAGAAATGTCGAAAAAGAGTTAAATTAATTCTAAAATATTTTCAAATTACAAAATTTCGAAAAAGAATGCATTAAATTAAATTTGTTTTCAAATTTCGAAGAAGAAATGCCGAGAAAGAAATGATTAATCCTATGTATTTCGAAAATTTTGAAAAAAATACGTTAGAGAAAGAAATGAGTATTTTCGAATGAACAAAAAAAGAGAATTAAAAATGAATAAAATGAATTTTGACGTAAATCGAGGGCGGAGCGATCCTATCTGCTATTGATTGGGTGGTAGCGTGGTAGGTAGGGCACGGGTAGATTGATGATGATGATGGTGATGATGGTAAGGGGGGGGGAATCGATCCTAACTAGATTGTTGATAGACGGGGGGGTGGGATCTACGGGTGGGTGAAGTATGGGATTGGTAGCGGGAATGGGAGCGGGAGTGGGGTTGAGTGCGGGGGCG